CACAGAAATCAGAACTCATGAAATGAATACTTGTCCTGGGGTCACCGACTTAAAGGCCTGAGTTACTAGATCAGAATGACAGCCAAACAACGGCTAATGAATGCTTTTTGTAGATGAACACAAAGCTATATTTTTGACCAATCAAAGGGTCAATCCGCTGTATTTAACAAAAATTGCATATGTGACAGACAAGCTTTCAGGAACAATCTCAGGATTATTTGCAACAAATCTGGCACAGCATACAGGAGTGCATTAAGTTTCACATTAAAACAAACAAAAATCAAAAAATTGAGAGCGTTTTGTTTCTCTTGAAATCAAGTCAGAGTCCAGATTCTGTTCCCCAGGTTGTGCCTCCACTTCGCAATTAACATGCCAAAATAAACTGCACAGTGTTTCTCTGGTAATTGGTTTCTGTTTGAGCTGTACTTCTCTCTCCCTTTCACCTCACTCCCCTCTCCAGGAAGACAATCGTTGTACAACTAATGTTATTGATTTGTAACTTTCAATGGTTATTCATTTGTATAGAATATGTATGTGCCTTATTGAGCTTGTTTGTGCACTTTTTATATTCAGACTCCATGTTATAATAATACTTAAATTGCAAATTTAAACACCTTCGTGTTAGTTTTATATTAAAGAAAATTACCACTGATTATGACTTTTGTTTGTTTTGATAATTCAGTGAACGTTGTATGCTTCACACCTTATGCCCCAAATCTGTAACTTTTGTGGTTTGGGAAATACCTACACAGATGATGGTTCCTTACTGTGATACCTGTACCGCATTGTAAACTTATCTATAGTCTGTATAAGAGACTTAATTATCAGTTGTTTATTTTGCACTTTCCATTTTTTGTGTTGTGCTTTGTTTTGTTATTGTACATTTTTATCTGTTCTACATCCATTATGGATTATGTTCAAAAACAAATAAAATATGGCTCATACAACACTGATCTATTCAGCGTTTTATTTAAGAAGACATCATTTGCCTCCTGAACATCAACAGGATATCGTCTTACTATATACTGTTTATTTTAACTACTATGTACATGGGTAAGCTCTTTGTTACAAAACTATACTAAACATGAAAGCTGCTTATAGGCTAAAGTGGGGTACACACTATGAGAAAAAAAATCGAAAGAAAAATTCCATACGAAAACCGATATTTGATTTTCATATAGTGTGTACACAACTTGACATCAGACTCAGAATTTGCAATGAAAAATTTCTGGAGGGACAAAATCTAATTTTTCTTGCACATAAACAAAACAATTTTTATTCAATGTGTACTGTTTTTGTACAAGGAAAAAATCGGATACAAAAGACTGACGAAGAAATGTTGTAGCAAACAAACCAACAAAAAAAAAAAAGCCTCTTTCGAACATTTTTGTACAATTAGTACCATCCTTGGGTTCAACCTAATGTGAACCATCGAGGAAAACAAGACGGTCGTTTTTGCCCATTTTTCTTTATAGTGTGTCCCATGCCTTACACTTGGTTCACATCTGTGTGGGTGGTGCCACTGCGGGACCTGCACAAATACTTGCAACCGCACCACACACAGAGGAATGCGGGACCCGCAGACAAGTGCCATTAATTCTAATGGAATGCCGCCCGCACTGGAAATCGCAACGGTACTGGGAACCTCAGTTGCCATGCGGGCTGCGTTCTGCAACTTAGTTCAGAGACTTCTTCCCTGCGTGTCCCGAGGCATGGGGGTCCATTCAAATGAATAGGCTCTCGTGCCCCGCGCAAATCACAGACCACACAGATCTGAACCATGGCTTAAGAGTATATTGCAGACCGATTTCCACCCTGCCCTAGGGATAGTGATACGGCTCTACCATGGCTGATGTGCCTGGCTGCTGGTGGTAGTTAGGAGCTTTAACTAAAATGAAGGAAAAAAAAAATGATCCTTCCAATAATGCAGTATTGTCTCCACATCTCCATCCAGAATCATTGTTGGATCCACCACCTTGGCTTGGATGGTGTGTACACTGAATGTCTGGCAAATGTTCAGAGCATCTTTTCCATTTACCAAGTTATAAGTAAGGCAAAAATTACAATCTGCATCTTTTCCTATTTAAGAACAGATGTTGGTGAATGCTACTTTAATGAACAAGAGCCCTCATAAATAATGAATCAATCATAAGAATTCACAAGTTATTAGCCAGCCCTGTGTCAAAGCAAAAGGTTTAGCCAGCTAAAGGGTTCTATTTCCAGAACTCTGTTTATTCACTAGATTGCTTACACCAAAAATAACTTTAATTTCCATATAGATAGAGAGTCTTTTATGCATCTCAAGGACCTTTCTAGACTTTTGTAAAACAGTTCAGTCCTTGCCTGCACACTTTCAATTCAACTGCAAATACCTAGAACACTATGCAGCCACCTAGTGGTATAACAGCAACATTGCTCACCCACAACTGCTGTTTAAGGAGACAAAAAAAAAAAGAAAACACAAAAGTAACTTAAAAAAAGCTTTATTGTCCTAGTACAGGAGCCAAAACACTAATGGAAGATCCTTTTGAGATTTGATGGGCAGATTGAAGTCTGCATAGTTGCAAGATGTATGAAAGTTAAATCCGTTCTATATAACTGACATACTGGTGATGTATACAAATTACACCAGATGATCCCTTAACTATAAAAAAATAATAATATATGTCTTTGGTGTCTTGCCATCATGGCACCAAAAGGGAGAAATGTTGAAAGGTATGAGCAGATTGTTACAAACTAATCATGCGTTATGAAGGCACGGTAATGGACACTAGGAAAGGTCACTTGGGCTCCATCACAAAGTATGCATCAGGTATGAGCAAGAAAGCCCATGGTGGTTTGATGATGGCACATTCAAAACAAGGCAATCAGAAAGGCACCAGCAGCGATAATTACAAACTATAAGGAAAGATATGGAAGCAAAACAGGGGGTAATTCATGTTGACATTTGTTCAGCAGATCAAAGAAGATCCGATAATGATGACATTTTATGGCAAACATGACCACACTGAAAATGGGATTGCATAAAAAAAAATGAAGTATATTAGATACATAGATATAAACAAAGGTTACATGCAGCAGAGGATATTAACCTCCTCTGTTGTAAAGAAACAGATTAGAATATATAATACTGCAAGGATACAATAAAATACGAAGGAACAATGTGCAATATGCGCATGAGTTTTGCCTTGCTGATGTTTAAAAACATCTGTCAAAGTAAACAAGAGATACAGAATTACTATATGGAGATTACACCATAATTCCTAGTTTACTGAACTAAGAAATTGAGACAACTTTAAGCCCCTTCCTAATCTGCCCCTATAGAAGGATTTATTATTTAACTCCACCACACAAAGGCCACATCAGCCTTTCCACAAAACAGACAGTAAGAAGGTATGTTCATCTCTACCTCTCAAATCACAGTTCCAGAGCAAGCGAAGACAATGGCCGGATATGGAGCACTGCTCCTGTACCAAGAGAGAATAGCAGTTTGGCAAACATAATAAATGCGCTTTAAATATATCCTTCTCACAAAACATTTTATACATATAAAAGGGCTCCAACAAGTGTTTCAGCTGTTAGATGATAGATAAGAAAAACGTAGCAGATTCCTGCAGAGTTTTGCAATTAAATGAAGGCAAAACAATGGCCAGATTTAGTCCTTAATTCCAGGACAAGAGCAGGTAATGGGTTGGATTTGTGATCTCTGCTCTAGCCTCATATTCCTACCAGGCTGTGATGAGCAGAGAAAGCTGCATACATATGCAGCTGCTAAATTGGCTCAAGAGAGCTTCTAACACTCGAGATTGTACATATAGGTTGCTAAACAAGACCATTTCCAGTAGGAAAACAAATCTAGAAGCATAACAGTCATTTCACTGATTTTAAAAAAGCACATATAATGTGTCTAGGTTCTTTATTATCTAATGATGATGATTCATATCATCAGTAGATAAAGCGCTGAGCAAACTGTTGGTGCTAAAAATCCTGTATAATAATAATAATTCATATGAAGAGCACAGTAATTCAAATGGGCCTATGCAGGTGTCATGCATACCCTATTCCTAGCATTGGTATGGCTTCTGCCCACTAACAGATGTTAGAGATGTGCGATTACACAGGTTGTGGCTCTTTTTTTTTTTTAATTTTATAAAACTGTCTGACTGTTCTGTGTAAATATAAAAGAAATGGTGGACCAAATGGCAAAAAATTATACTTGCAGCTTTGTCCACTTCTTCCTGGATATTACTGCCCTCTATTGGCCTTACAATATTTACCCTTTCCTATGATGGAAGTGATCACAAAAACAATGTAAACATGAAAAAGGGAAGAATATTCATTTAGTATTTAAGGAAAAAAAAATATTACCTGCAATATTATATCATCGTTTAGTTGCCCTTTTAGCACTGTAGGAATTTGATATAAGCTACTGAAACATGCCAGGCAGCCATGTAAATTTATCAGAAAATATTTTAAGTATCATGTCAAGCTTTTTGTGTTATCACTGCTCTGAACATGAGACTGTAAACATTAAATAAAGTTTTAAACTGTACAGTCCCATGATGCCACTGTCAACAGTGGCTTAAGTAAGACTTGGCCAGGAATAATTGCTTGGTTAGTGATCGCCAAATGTGGAGAGGACAGAACAATTTGGCTTTGTTTATGCTATCTCTGCTCACAATTCCATAATCCAGGGAGGAGCAATTTTAGCAGTTATCTTCTCCATGGTGGAATCATCATACAGCCATTTACAGATCAGTCCTGTTGCCTCTAGCATCGGAGCATGATGGAAGTTGCAGTTCAGAGTCAGGGGATGCCCACATTTTCTCTACACGATGTCCACATTGCAAGCTGTTCTCATTAAGCAAGGTGTGAATAACATAGGAATGTATTTTTTTTCCTTATAAAAAGCAGGCTTGAAGTAAAAACTATAAATTAATGGACTAATTAAATAGGAGTGAAAGTAAGAGGCTAATTAACTGTGTAAACTAAATAAGCCATTATGGCTTCTTCCTTAGATAATTGGAAGGTATCCAGCCCTCCCAAATGGGGCCTCCACTAAGAACCCTACAGAACCACCAGCCACTAGAACTCTTCTCCTGAACCTCAAATATTGTTCCTTCTTTAAAGCTACTAGTATCCTCATCTCCATCAAAATCTGCAACAGCCACATACTGAGAAGGTGGAGTGCTGGATACAGGCTTCTCTTTTGTTTCTGATTTATCTGCTAGTCTTGATGCCGGCATCTTGGGAACAAAGCTATTTTTCACTTTGGTATCATCACTACCTGATGAAGAAATGAGCGGCTTGGCTTTAGGAGGAACCATTATGGGTCGATTTGCCATATGAGCAATTGTAAAATCAGAACTTTCTTTTAGCTGTGTTGCCTTGCCTTCATTAGTTTCACTGGACGTGGAAACTTTCTTGGGAGGAGGTGGTCTTCTTGGTGGAATTACAGGCCTCTGGGGTGGATCTCTTGCAGCCTTTGGTTCAGTGTCAACAGTCCTAAGTGGTACTGGAAGCGCTTTAGAAGGTGGTTCACCAGGAACACTATTGTCTTGCTTGTTCAGATGTTTTTGATCAGGTTTATCAAGGGGTCTGCCAGCAGCCCCTATACAGTTGTACACTGCGGTATCGCTCACCCCACTACTTGCACATGGCTCTTGCTCATTACTTTTATCCAATGATTTCCCAGAGGGTTTAAGTCTGCTTCTCAGATTTGAAATGTCAACCTTATCTTCTGAATTAACCTCAGTTTTACTTGTAGCAACTGGTTTGGGTTTGACCTGTGGTTTAGGTTTGAGAAAAGGGTTTGGAACCATTAATTCAGGTTTATCTGATGATATCTCAGGCTTAGGTTTGTTGGCAACAGGCTTAAGCCCTGGCTTTTTTAACTCTTTGGGTGACACTTTGTGTCCACATTCAAGACCCATTTCATTTTTCAACTGAAACATTTTGCTCTTGTCAATTTTTATTTCTGGTTTCTTGGCCTCCTTTAAAAGAACTTGCTTCTGAGGACTTGATGCCATCATGCTGGCTGAAGGTTTTGGAGGGGGAGCCCGGTGCTGTGGCATGCTTGGCCGCTCAGATACCTCTTCATTTTTCAACATGGATTCTCGTCTCGGAGGTAGACTTGGCCTATCCTCCCTATCGTCCCCAGCTGCCTCATCATACACACTATTTAAAAAGTGTTCTTTGCCATCAAAGGAAGAACTTTTGAAACCTTGATCTTTGTTCTTCCACTCTTTTGACCATTTGGACACAGGGTCTGTACCATTTTGTGGTGGCTCAGGCAGGGGCCTACATGGCCCAGATGCTTCCTCCACAGAGGTGCTTTCTGTAGAAGCATTAGACAAGCACAGCTGGGCCATCTCATTTGGTAAAGGGGCCAGAAAATTGGGCCTTGAAGCATTGCTAGTTTTTTTGTACTTGTCAATAAAAGTGGCAGGGGCCCAGCCCTCCTTATCATCAATCTGTATATACCACCAACCACTATGGTTCTTTTCAACAACCTAAAAAGAAACCAATAACAGATTAGAAAAACCACAATCCTTGAACAAATTTCATTTAATTCTAGTAATCAACACTGCAATAAAAATTCTTGTAATCCATTATAAAATTACACAACCTGAGATACTGAATGCATTTGTAAGTTAAACTATATGCCTTGGGGATAGGAAAGGGGGGGGGGGTGGACTACCTGGAATCCATTAACACAATTATGTAAATGTTCCCCTTTACAAAATGCGTACCTTGCTTTAGATACAAAGAGATGAGGACATGCAAATCTGTACTGAGAGCGGTATTGAGCTGCTACTGCTGAGCACCTTTTGAAAACTCTACTACCCTGGCTGCTGTCTATAACTTCAATGCTTTTGAATCACTGATCCAAAACAAGCATCAAGCCCTGAGATCCTGATCTGCATACTTCTTCCAACTTAGTGGCAAAAGCCAATGGATCATCATAACAGCCAGTCAACTAGCATTAACAAAAAAAAAATGAGCCTATATAATTTTATAATACAGGTTCCATGAAGAAAGATCACTCAGGTTCAAAGAAACATTTTTGGCTGTTATGCAACTCACCTAAGGTTCCTTTTCAGCACTAGAGGCATGGCTCCAGTCCTGAAATCAGCACAATATCATGCCCACCACAAAACTAGAAACATTTCCAGGGGTCAGGCAATGGGAGCCCTGTATGCTGGATGGAAGCCTGGACTGTTATAGGTAACTATTGTTTTGATTTGTTCCATTTCAAAAGCCAAGCAGGCAAGAATACATCTACAAAAGAGGGGGATAGGTGAGGATGGTGGGGTGAACAAGGGCAATGGCACATGGTAGTTTTCCTAGCAACTGTCTGGATTTCATTTTATTAGTCAATATCCAAAAAATATAGCTTAGTGATATTTTATGTTAAAACCTCACCTCCACTTTTAGTCCAGCCTGGAAACTGATGCCATCAGGTATGGTGGTCTGGAAATCTGCAATGGTGTAATACTCTTCTTCAACATGTGGTGGAGTAGGAGGTTTTGGGAGATTTAGACCTCGGGGCTGTGGAAACAAATTAGAACAATATCTCAAAGCAATTCCAAACAGTTGTAAAGATATTTTAACATTTTTACCTCACTGGATTGACAATTCAATTCTTCAGCTATGTAAATCAAACACCCCCCTTTTCCTCCAACATCATGCTACCATAGTGATTGGATAATGATTGGCAGCAGGCAGTGGGTGGATCCTTAGCCTGTATTGGAAATAGAATCCACCCAATGTCTGCTGCCAAACACAAGGAGTGAACGACTCCTCCCACGGTCAGCATCACTGGTTAGTAGAAGGTTGTTGGCTGTGAAGCCAACCGCATCCTTAACCAGCCTAGTGAAAGGTGGGGAGGGGAGGAGGTAGTGGTAACAAATACACCACTCTGCTACACAGCATAGGCACTCTGCTTGTCTCTCTACACCAGAGTGGGTCTTAATAACTCCAGTTTTCTTATATACGAACTAGAGGTAATTATTTTTCAATTTGGTGCATTAATAGCACCATTTTGTAATATAGGTGTTACTAAGAACTACCCAAATCTGCCACAAGCCATTTTAAAGGGCCACAGCGCCAGAAAAGTGTCAGAGATTGTATTCCCGATTATGATAGTGTTTAATATTTCTGCACTGGAAAAAATACATTTACTCAATACTGCAGTTAATGCAGTTATTACTTTCTACTTTTCAGTGAAACATGATGGCTGATCTTCTCTCCTTCTCACAATGCACAATCACAATTTGAGACGCGTTTCTGACAACAATTTCAAGATAAAATTTTTCTTGAAATGGTACATTTCCTCAGTTTAATCTTTTGATGTGTTTTCTATTGTGAATAAAATATGGGTTGATGAGATTTGCAAATCAAAGCATTCTGTGTTTATGCAGACTTTACACAGAATCCCAACATTTTTGTAATTGGATATTTCATATCTGAGGGACTGCTGTAGTACTTGGCACTACCACAGCAATCTGTGGGGTTCTGTGTTGAGTGGCTGCTACACTGACACTGACCACAGGAGTTGCTCAATCTCCAGTACATCCATTCACAGAATGCCATGGGTTTTTTTTTTTTCCATGAATACAGGTGTTCTATGATTGTAAAAGGAACAGAAGAGGGGTGGTGACATCACAATCTCTACCAATTACAGAACACATTGAATTCAATAAAGAAAAAAAAAAAACAAGGCTTTCGGTGAATAGCAGCAGTGTTGGGCAACCCTGTGGTAAGTATGCATTGGGGCATGCTCAGCACAACACCTAGAAAATTGGGACGATCACTGTAGAAGCACTCAACCTAGAATGAGGGCCACTTGTCTTTGAGCTGTGTGACTTCTGGTACCTTCTGCTGTAGGCCAGTACCATGTCATTGTCTGAATGGATCCTGGTTTGGTGACCTTGTAGCTGCAAGGACCAGCATCGCCCTAAGTACAAGGATGTTACACAGCAATCTAGCAATCCTACCATCAAATGGGATTGGATGTTAGGGACTAAGCCCCATGCAGATCTTCACTCTCCTGGTAGGAATAACCCCTGAGGGGTACAGCGCTTCACTGGGAAATGGACAACTTATCCAGAACCATTGTACTACATGCCTAAAGCACCAAAAGGATCCAGAGCCTAAAGCAACTTTTACAGGCTAGCCCTTCATCTTCCTGTTGGAGAATTTAACTGATCCATAAAGTTTCAAGGTGGAAGCTTCAGTAGCTTTGTAGCAGCTAGTAAACTTCATAGAAGAATGGTGATAAAAAGAATTATAAAGAAAAAAAAAACAGGTTTGCTTTTCTCAAAGTAGAGAGAAGATGTCCATTCATGTAAAGATATTAGCAAAACAACAGGCTTGCTGGGAGTGGTTATGTTGGGACTGTCCCTACAGCTTTGTTTGCCAGTATCCAGTTCCCTGAAGGTAGCTGCATAACCCATGGTATAAAGTTGTCCATACATGGATCGAAATTTATCCAGTTCAGCAGGGAGCGGCCAAACTTCAATCCATGTGTGGGCACTGTGTTTGAACAGATGCCAGATTTACCAATTGACTTCTGTTCAACCACCCTGTCAGATTTTCCCAACTCGATTAGAGCTGCAAGCTATAGTCTGCAGCACTGACCAGTGTATTCTGATAGTGGGGAAGTCCCCCGCTGTGAGAATACAAAGACACAGCAGGGATGATTACCTCACACACCTTAGTGTGAATGTGGGAATCAGGTCAGTTTTTTAATTCAATCCCCATGAAGAAAAAAAAAAAAAAAAAAGATACTGTGTCCTGTAATATACTGTAATAAAAAAAAAAAAAGAAGATTTTTTGACACAGGCAACATATTCATAGACCATGGGTTATAGACTTGTACCTTCAGGTGATTGGACACATGTCCCGAGGGCACCTCCACTATAACTGCCCCACTACGTAAATCTTCAGTTTTATAGCAAGCAAAGCGGAGTAATGAGGAGAGTTTAGGGAGGGCGACCAGTGTCCTGTATCATACGCCAAGATATCAAATTTACAGGTTAAGTCAAAATTCCTCTTATGTTAATTATACAGTATAGGACCCAGGCAACGTATTCAAACACCATGGAATGTCCCCAAGCAATGACCACAATAAGTGGGCAACTAGACAAACAAACCTGTACCAAAAGGCCCCTGAAAAAACAACAGGGGTCAAGACCCAAGTTCAGAATGCTGCTGCAAAAACCTTGTAACCAAATGTTGCATCCACAGAAGATTGGACAACCACCTGGTAATATTTTGAGAAAGTATAAACAGAAGACCAGATGAAAGCCTTACATAATTAGATACCAGAGGCTCGGAGTGGAGTGAGCGGGAAAAGACCATGAAGTGCCTTTTGCTTAAGAGTATAAACTTATTTAATCAAGCTCCTAATCCACCATGCAATGTGCATTTTGCACCAGAGTGCCCCTGGCAAGGTCATAAAGAAAGAACAAGTAGGGAATCTGTTTGTCTAATGGAAGCGTGAAGAGGAACAACAAAAAGAAGCGCACCAACCTTGCGCATTACCTCAGTAACCAAAATTTATTTAATAAAAGAATGGTACTCACAAACAGCGAATATATATATATACACACTTTTATTATATATGAGATGATAGAGAAAGTAAAAAACACAGTTTATTAGTTGATGGGTTTTCAGGGATCATCTAAAGGTGGATAGATTAGGAGATAGTCGGACAGATTGGGGTAGGGAGTTCCAACGGATGGGAGAAGCTCGGGAGAAGTCCTGGGAGGAGATGGCTCGGAAACTAAAGACCATAAGGTCTTGGAAGGACAGAAGAGAGCAGTTTGGTTGATATTTTGAGACCAGGGTAGTGTTGTAGCTGGAGGCAGAGTTGTCGATGGCTTTGTAAGTTGTTAGTATTTTGAATTTTATTCGCTAGACAAGTAGCCCTGAAGGGTCAAGGGGTGGTTTCTGCAGGTCACAGGGAACCAAATGAAGATCCTAGGGAAGAATAAGGTGGTGCAAGGGGGGGCCTATTATAACCTATCAATAAAGGTTTTCAAAAAGAAGTGCAAAACCACAGGCCTTTGGAAAAAGGACACATGGTCTTTACCTGATCTTTAAGGATGTTAAGACCTAGATTATGGTCAAGACCTGTTTGTAGGAAGGCCAGAATGTGAAGCACAGATACATTTCTTGGCCTGATTTGTCTGAGCTCACACCAGGCAAAGTAAGATTTCCAGGCACAAGAAATCTTTCTGGAAATGGCCTTTCATGCTCCCAACATGGCAGGAATCACAGACTCAGAAATTCCTTTATCCATTAGGACATGTCCTTCAACAGTCATGCAGCTAAAGCCATAGACTTTGAAGAAGGGTAGAATAAAGGGCCTTGAGATAGCAGGGCTATCCTATTGGAAAAAGACCAGGGATCATCTGCTAGAAATTGGAGTATGTCCGTGTTTTTTCTGGACTAGTTCTGTGCAAGTAGAAGCACTGTTTTTCTTTATTGCTCTCTTTTGTGAAATTGGCAAGGAAAAATTATCAGTGGAGGGAAGACATAGATTAAATGGCTGAATTGAGAACAGGGGATAATTAGAGCATCCAAGGCCAGAGTAAGATGATCCGTGGCTCTGGCCACAAAAAGAAGTAGCTTGTTATCTGGTGGCTACGATGTTTACATACAGAGTCCCCCCATCTTTAGGATATCAGACTGAACACATCTGTGGACCACAGAAATCGCTGGGCAGTGAGTAATTGGGTGTCCCTGTAGGAGGGAGATCTGTGCTAGAGGCAATTTACCATTCTGAACTCATGTTCCCTGAACTCATGTTCCCTGAACTGTCAGGCTGAGAAGGAGTCTTCCAATCCTTGACAGACCTACGTCTGTAGTAAAAACTTTTCAGTTGTAGGGAAGGAAAGCATTTCCCACTGTTGGTGCAGAAGTGGTGATCCAACAAGACAAGGAAGTTTTTGTTTGGCTGGACAGAAGCATAGGTAAATTGAAGGAAAGAACCTGCTTTTTCCATTCTGGCAAAATACTTTGTTGAAGTGTTCTTGAAGGAGACAGCCATTAGATCCAGAACTGTCACGGCAAATATCACTGAGGAGGGATTTCTATTGAATCTCAGTTCAGCATAAGCTCTTAGGCCCCATTCGCCGCAATTCTGTCCACTAAAATCGCACAACAGCGAGTTGAGGTGCCATTCATTTTAACGGCACCTAAAAACGCAGTGTGGTTTTGCCGCGATTATGCAAATCTGACTGTGCTTGGACAGTTTTTGCTTGGGCAGTAGAGTTTTGAACTCTATCTTGTACCCATTGAAATCTGTGACTGAACCCACAGGTCTAGGGCATTTGTGACCCAGAGAAATGCAAACTGTAGCAGACATCCTCCCACTGAGTGTGGGCACCCCTTCATTGCAAAGGGGGCTTTGGGGAAGGCTTAGTGGTCTTTGTGGGCCAAACCTTGTGCTGAAAGGAACAGCTGAAAGTAGGTTTTGAAGTTAAAGCCTAATTATAGCATGCAGATGCTCTGTGTTTAGAGGAGCTAGGGGGTCCCTGAGGAGGGGGGGGGGGGGGGGTTTCTCTAAGGAAGGTAACAAACATGGGACTTTGATGAATCTGTAAAGTGTCTCACCAAACAGAAGGCTTCCTTGGAAGGGCATACATGTGAGGCATCTTTTATAGGCAGCTGTCGAAGACTTCAGCCATAAAATTCTGCACTTATAAATTCAGATTAGAGCCATTATGGTTATTTGTGTCATGGTGTGTTTCAGGGCATCTACACAGAAAAAGGAGCAGAAGGCAATTGTAATGTTTCAGCAGCAGAACAATCCTGAAGTACAGGGTCAAGTTGGTTATTCATTATCTTAGTCCAGTTAGCTGCAGTTTGACGTACAGAAATAGCAGTGAGGGCTTGTTGAAGGACTGGGCTTGCCAGCTTTTAAGAGCATCTCAAATTTTGCAGCAGCATTCTTGAAAAAAAGGAACATCTTCTGTAGGTACAGTAGGGTGTTTGTTTAGGACAAACACGGCAGAATCAACCACAGGAATAGTCCACTTTTTTGCAAACTCCTTTTCCACTGGATAGAATTCAGCAAAGGATTTTTGGGTTAGTGAAAATACTTTCAGGAGTGACCCAATTGTTCTACATTGCACATTCTATCTGTTCATAAACAGGGAATGTGTTGCAAGATTTTGTCAGTCTTTTCGTGCCCAAAGGGGATGGAAGTGTCAATTTGAAAAATGCCAAGGCTTTAGCAGACAGAAGCAAATCGCTTTTGAACGTTAGAAAGCATGTTGCCTTCAATATAGTTGCAATGTGGGGGTGGTAGATCTTCTGCAGCTTCCTCCAACATTGCCTCAATATTCTCTTCATTCCCTTTGATTCTGCATCCGTTAGGACCAGCATATCAGGGACGGACTCCGGTTGAGAAATGGGAGTAGAAGAGGCCTGGACAAAACACAGCTGTATAAAAACCATAATCTGTCCATAGAATTGTGACCTGGTTGCAGAATATTATGCCTCTGTCTACTAATCCAATCGATGCATGCCTGAAATAGAGCTAGAATCAAATGCAGAGACCTGTGTTAAATCTGGGTCCAGCTTTGGAGCAGGGGAAGAATCATCACTCTGAGGTTGAAGGCTCGTTCACACCATACGTGCAGAAAAACTGAAGGAAACTGACACGCAGATTTCATTTGCAGAGACATCAGTTTACATCAGTTTATATCAGCTTTCATGCTCGCTCCAATGGGTTTTATACACGTTGCAGATTCCTTCACAAAACAAATTTGCACATGATACTAGTTTTGTGGTGTGAACAGGGCACATAATTACTTTCAAAGTGCCCTTGCAGAACACGTGCAGAAAAACTGATGTTTCTGCACCATGGTGTGAACAAGCCCTGAATTGTTTTGCCTTTGACAGAGCAAATGTTTGCCTGTTTTGAAATGGCTCCCTTTCGCCTGGTCTACGCTATAGCTACAAGTGAAGGTAAGTACCATATAAGGGCTCTAGAAGAAAGTGGAATTAAAGTATACTACCAGTGGTATGATGTAATACCTTCCTCAAAAACTGTGTGTCCAATCACCTGAATATACGAGCCTTTAACCCATGGCAGATGAACAAGTAGCCTGTTTGCTGTACTGTTCAATTAGGATAATATAATTATTTGTATCACAAAACCACAATACGGATGATATCACATCAATATTTCATCACCTAGACGACAGACGTTCCATGGGTAGTCATAGCATAGCAATAGAATGAGTAATAAAACATTCAGTAGTATGTAGTGTAAGGACCTGCCTACTGGATTGTATAGTTCAGGTGGGTCCTCCAATTTAATTATACAGAGATTATTTGGTAATGTTGCAAAGTCTAAAATTCAATATGTCACTCAGGTACAGTATATATTTTATAGACACACATAAGGTCTGGAAGCCCACAGCTCCAAACCAGAGCTGCACGAGAAATATATGTCCAAGGGATATACAAGAAGAAACTTACAATAGTAAGATCCCGGCGAGGGGGAGGTCTCTGTCTCATTATTGGAGATTCTGCAGGAATAGGGAAAAAATTATTAACATAGCCACACTTTACACTTACCTTAAAAGGAGCAGACATCTTATGTTAAAAATAGACAATAGGAAACATCAGAAAAAAAAGCTTTACTCATCAGGTAATAGACTGACTAGAACTTCAAACTTTAAACAATTCAATGTAACTGTCCATGCTTTCTTCAGTATTTATACCCCTGTTAAATTGTTCTAACAGTGGACTGTAGAGAATAAATGATTGTGATCACGTATTTGAATGTGTATTGTTTTCTTCTGTAAAAGGGAACCTGTGTTTTTCCCAAACAAAGCATCATGTCACCTTTAATTCCCTCTTCTTCATGAGAACATTGCTCTGCCCAATTGAAAGGCATGAAAAAAGGCCTGTGTAATCTCAAAGTCAATCCAATCAGAGTCTGAAGACTCTCTCCACCCCCATATGACAGTGAGGAGCCAATCAGTCACTAGCACTGTCACATGAGAAGAAGTGATCACATTCTCCTTTAAAGCCCTGGTCTGGGCACAATCAATTTTTCCCATCTCTCCCTCCCAATCTCCTTAAACCCATCCTTCCAGGGTTCAAGTTTTCCTTACCCAGTGAAGTCAGTTCAGCCTGCGGGGATGGGATGGGAAACCCCCCACCCCCCCCCTGCCAGCTGATCTCCTTGACTCTCCTTAGGTCTGGTTGCCAGTCTTTTTTTGGATCCTGAGAGGACCCCTCGGCTGGCCAGCCAGCCAATAGGATCTGTCCATGTCACACAGGAGTGATGTGGCCACCTGTAAGAAGGACCTATCCAAAAAGTAACCACAGGAGAAGGACCCAGCGCTGAAGGATCACATGAACGCAACTTAAGACAAATGAAAATGGGGGTTTAGAGAGGCAAGCCTGAAGAAATCTATGAAGATAGATAAATTCCACATTTTCAGACTGTTGGAATATTATATGGGCTCCCTGGTTTGTCTGAGTGCTTGGCTGATGATTAGCTTCCTGTTAATTAGATCACTGTTACAAATTAGTTGCTAGTTGTTGATTAGCTTACTTTTAATTAGATCACTGTTAGCTGTACTGTTTATGGTTTCCACTGTTCAGGATAATGTGATCAAGCTCTTACCTAATCAGTGTGGGATTTTATCCCAATGTGAAATATTCATTTTTATTATGCATGTGGGGACTGCCCCTATCTCTGAAGTGTATCAAAACCTGTATTTCTGTTGAGTGAAGAATTTCAGTTTTGCATCTAAGCTAGTGTCGCCTAGTCTTGGGTGCGATGCCCAGCTATAAAACCTTGGTCCTGTGCCCTAGCGGCAAGGAAGCAGTTCTCTGAGGGAAGTACTCAAGAGGGGTGCCAGGCAGTCCATTAAAGGTCTGCACCATACACTCATGAGCAATTTACTATTTGTTTTGCCCCTTTGAAGCTCTAGTCACAAAGGCTCCACCTTCTTGCTAGCTCTGTTAATGCCATCCCACATATTCAGTATCAAATCGCTCTTCAAATACAACCATACCCCTCTCCCTTTTCTACCCACCCTGTCCCCTCTAATACAAGGAGTACCTATGAACAGTCATAAACCAGTCATGTGGGCTGTCAACCAGGTTTCTGATATTCCCACAAAGTCAAAATACTCCTCATCTACCAGAAGTTCTACTTCTTCTAATGTATTAACCAGGCTTCAAGCATTTGTGCACATGCCTCTTAATTTTGTACAAGCATATCTTATATCTTCATTTATCCTCACACACCTTAGGATTCAGCATGCCTGCTAGCCTTGGATACTTTAGTTTCTCTATCATCTGGTTTGAGGCCCCATTCTTCCCAGACTTTGCCCAATCTGTACACTCTGACCCTTGTTCACTTCATGGTATACCTTCCAACCCCTCACCAAACAACATAGTTTAAAGGTTTCTCCAACCTTCTAGACAACTGCTCCCTCAACAGAGCAGGGCAATCCCCATTTAGGTGTAGTCCATCTCTGCTGAAGAGTCAGTAACTGACCTCCAAGTCGGCCCAGTTCTCCATGTACCCAAAACCCTCCTCCATGCACCAGTTCCTCAGCCACTTGTTTAGCTCTGTAAACTCCTGCTGCCTCTCTGGTGTGGCTCATGGCATAGGCAGTATTTCTGAAAGTACCATATTGGAGGTCTCTTTCTTTAAAATTGCACCCAAGTCCTTGAAATCATCTTTAAGGATGCTCCATCTACCTTTAACTTTGTAATTTGTACTAATATGTATCATTACAGCTGGATCCTCCCCAGCCCCTCCAAACAAGCTGTCCATTTTATCCACAATTTACTGAACCTGTGCGCCCAGCAAACAACATACTGTTCAGCAATCATGGTCCTTGCGACAGATTGCCCTGTTCTTCTAATAACGGAGTTCCCAACCACCAGTATCTGTCTATCCTTGCCTGTAACCTTGCCCCCATCCTTACTGGAGTAGTCATTCCATTAGCGGCTAGGAGTGGTAGCCTGTTCCAGCAATGCCACTCCTGAGCTGATATCCCCAACATCATGCAACTTGGCATATTTGTTGAGATGTATCGACTCACGACTAACCAAACATTTTTCCCTGAACCAGGCCTTCTAACTGTAACCCAGATTCCCACCTGCACCTCGATGTCACCATCTCCTCTATATTGGCCCCAGCCAGCACCTGTTGGGCAGGGTCCACACGCCTATCCAGGTTGCTGATGCTCTGCAGTGTTGCCACCTATTCCTTAGATCCAGGGCCTGGTATTCCAAACAAACAACTTGCCCACACATCACACAATAATATTCATCTGGTTGTTCAAGGAACGTATACATGGAGCAAGTTGCTGCATCACAAAGACAACTTGCAATGGGTTGCATCACCACTCCCATAGGGCCTGTAACCCACTAATATAATGGGGATATTCAAATGCGTTTATTTTAATAGGCTTTTATTTAATTTAAATTTATTTTTTACCACTATTAATTTGCCCTAAATGTTTTGAATATAGTGCCCTTCTGTACTCACGATGCCCCTCAGTCACACCCAGGGACCCCCTTGGTACTCATCATTACTCCCATGGCACTCTAAAGGCTCACCTAGCAATCACAGTGCCCCCTTAGAACTCACAATGCCCACCCACCACTCACAGTGCTCCCCCCATACTCACTCCATCTGCTCTGCACTCACAGCGCTCCTCACCACCTCCCTATATCTCTTAGTGCTCCCAGTGCCCCTTAGTATGCACAGTGCCTCCTCAATATCCACACTGCCCTCTTAATACTCACAGCGCCAGCTTGTTACTTAGTGTCCTCAGTACTCACATTTTGATTTCATTTTGCTGTCACACACTTTGCAGTTGATTAAAAGCAGCCTATTTGCCTTTAGTAAATGTGAACAGCCTATCTGCCTTTAGTAAATCAACTACCGTATTTCAGTATTAATGTTTATACTAGCATGTTGAATAGGCCCATAAAAGTCTTAGAAGAAGCAAAACCTTTAGAAATAGAGACAGCAATTTCAGGGGATAGGACTGTGAACAGAACATTAAAATGGTGATTTATGGGTCAGATAAAAAATTAATGAATGTAAATGATTTATCTTTTCTCACTTCTTTTAAAGTCTGTGACATGAGCCTGCCGCCCAGGAACATCCCTATCACGATTTGTATAGTTTTGTTGCCTAGAGAGTCCATCCAGGTCTAGAGCACTTGAATTGGCACTTGATCCTGAAGCCAGTTTTTGAGACAACAGGTCCCCACTAATCTTCTTAAGGTAGGAAGCTGGAGCCCAGCCCTCTGCACCTTTGTACCTGAAAAAGAGAAACAATGTCATCTTCTGCATCACAGAAACTGCAAATCCATAACTAACAACTTGAATGTCTCTAAAAATTTCTGTCAAAGGAAAATAACTTTTCTCAATGCCAATTAAATTTTAAACACACTTGTTCTAAGCACTAACTGATTGGGCATGGCATGTACTTCTTTATAGATAGCTTAATCCACAGAAACCAATCTTCACTGTGTGCTGTGGCTCCATCCTCCAACTCCTGGGTCACTGTTGCGTTCTGTAGTAACTTAGGAGTCAGAAGATTAACTTATGGTGCATGAGGGAGGACTTGGGCATTCAAAACTTACAGTAGTGTCTAACGTTGTAGAGTATTATAGAGGTTGCAGGTGGAACAGAGATACAGGTTACTAAAGAGGGGAGTAAAATACCCTTTTCTTTCATAGGGAACTGCCCTTGGAAACTATTTTATACACTTGACAAGGTCACCAAGTCAGACCACTGCAAGATGGATTTTAATTTTATTGTATTTCATTTTTGCTGATTACATTGTTTTATTGAATATAACAGATTCCTTCTGCTCGCCTCAGATTTCCAGATCTGAGAAATGTACATTTGTGTAACTGGTACAAATAAGAAAAGCTAAGAAAGTAGCAATGCGAAGTAGAATAACTCCACTAACCATTGCATACTACTAACCTGTGTATACCTGATGCATATACATAGTCTGAACATTTGAAAAAGGAAGAATGACAAATACAAAGTATTTGTAACAGTCTGACAAGACAGCAAACAGGCCACAATCCTGTTCCAGTAATGGATGTGGTATGCTACAGTATACACCCTGCCAGGGTGTGAGATGTACTATATATTTAAAGTTTTATTTATGATTCAGAATTCTGGCTTGAATAGTTGTACGGCATCTCTACAGTTTGGAAATCAGGCATTCCAGGATATTTAAAAGAAAAAAAACTTGTTGGTTTATGACTTCATGTAGAAACACAGTGGAGCTCCTTCTATTACAGACTCTTAATGATCTCAGGACAGCCATCTGTTATGAGAGATTTCACTTGAAGCACAATTTGCTAGGTAAAGCGTGTACTGTGGTGGAGCCACAAGAGGAGAGTTCCAGATACAATGAAACAGTGCATCACCATGCTGTAAATACACCCAAATGTGTAGTAGTAAATACATTTTTTTTTTACTTGTTGAAACCTGGTTCTAAATAAGCAACTTGGGTTCCCTTGGAAACCAAACAATCACAGTAAAGAAGATAGTTATGAAGATTGTGGTGAATTCACAGAACCTATTTTACAAAGTCCAATTTATTGGTGCTGCAGTGCGTATACAAAGCCAATAGACCAAGGTTTCGCAACAGGGTTCAGTGGAACCATAGGGTTCATCCAGAGGTTGGGGCGGATTCACAGAACCTATTTTACAAAGTCCTATTTATTGGTGCGGCAGTGAGTATACAAAGCCAATAGACCAAGGTTTCTCAACCAGGGTTCAGTGGAGCTCTAGGGTTCATCCAGAGGTTGCTGGGGGTTCCTTGAGCAATAAGCTATTTCTGATTCTCAGATGCATAACCTCTGACATCAGTGAACTTTTTAGCCATTTGTAAAGAGGGAGTCTCCCCAGTGACCACAAATGTAAGGAACATTGACCGTCACAATAATGTTCTGTGAGCTGTAAATATATTAATTATTAGCAGGAGTTCCCTGAAGACAAAAAGTTGTATCAAGGGCTCCTCCATATTAAAAAGGTTGAGAAAGGATACCATACACATTGGAGCAGGAATGGGATGAGGGATGCATTATTTTTTATATCATCTTTGCAACACTAGAAACGTCAAGTAATTATCTGGAAAAGTAAATACATAAAAAAGTGAATGTCTGATTTTCTATGTATTTTAGTGATTAATAGCTATTGTTTTCACATAGAGAAGTTTGTTGTTCAATTGCAGTGTGATTTTATTATAGATTCATTCACACAAGTTAAAGTACGTATAACATACACACTGCGATGGTACAATGCATTGCAGTGTTTGCATTTACCCCATTTTTTTTTACTTTTGTTTAAATTACAATGAATTAAATTCAATGTGTGGCAGTGCATTACCACATGCTGTAATCCATGGCAATAAAAATGTATGACTGCATCATTTTATCACACACGTTGGAACAGGCCTTGTCTTTACGCTGGGCAACACTACCCAATGGGGCTGGTGTCAACTAGCCCTAGGGGGACAAATTAAATCTAAATAGAGCTTTGCGGAGTCCTCTCTATGTGTTCTATGTGAAACAATGTGACTGATTTATGATAGGCATAGAGACGTTGATGTTGTGAATAAATTGAATCTCTGTTTACTTTAGTTATCAGCAAGCAAAAGTCACTAGTTTTTTGTTTTTTTTAACTTTACACGACTTGAAATTACCACATTAACTGAACATTCCCAATCTAATCAAATAACTTTGCTTAGTAAATCAATCCCACTGTTTTTTACCTACTTCATTTTAGTTCATCAAGTAAAAGAAAGTACGCACCACAGGGATGATGTCTGACTTGTTTACAAGAGGGCCTAGAGAGACTGAGTGTCCTTCATATTAGTACATTCTAGGTGCACGGTAAAATTAACTGTCCATTTTCTAGGAAGTATCCCTTAAAATGTTTTTTTCATAAACAGCACAAAAACAAGTAATAAGCCATCTTACACTGGCAAGTATGTAGCAGCAATTCTCTTACTTTTACCTCAAAGGATACACCCATATGCAAAATGTAACGTTACAGACGTGCCAGCCCGCACTCCTCCCTGATCCCCTATTTTGACAGCTAGTGGGGATCTTCTCCCCACCACTGGCTGTCACAATCTGAAAAAAACATGGCCATGCAGGACTCCACTTGCCCAGTCGCGTTATTCATTCACAGCATTCTGTGAATGGGAAAACTACAAGTTCCGATATCCTTTGTGGCTGTCAGCTTGTAGTTCTCGATTAACTATCAGGGAGCTATTGAGCTTCTTTTCATTGTGTAACTGCCTGCCTATAACGGAGGTACAGGCAGACAGATACACAGTCTGTAGGTGCGTGGCATTACACCCATGATCTGCTGATCATGGATGCAATACTTTACAGGCTCCGAACAGAAAAAAAATAATAAATGATAAATGCAAATTTTTTATCTGCAAAAAAATGTGCATTTATTATTTTTTTTATGTAACAGTGAACTTATCCTTTAAGCAAGTCCTCACTAAGAAAATCATAGTGATTTGCTAACTCACTAATTCTACAGCAATTTGAAACTCAGCTGTTGAGTTTGAAAAGCGTTTCATGTTAGCAACAAATGCTCTTTATTCACCTCTATGGCTTAGCTACAAATTCCCAAATGAGAGCAATTGGTAGTATCAAACACTAACATATTAATAGCGCAGTTTGACCAGTAGGTGTGAAAAACAAATTCTTAGCAGCGACATCACCAGCTACTATAGAGCATATGTAGCTAGCTATAAATTGCTGTTAAAGACTGGCATTAAGTAAACCTAATCACAATATAACAGTTCAAACTTCCTATGAATTATAAATATTACCTAATTTTCCACCAGCCCTCTAAATTCTTCTGGATAACTTCAACGACGACTCCTTTATCTAGCGTGATTTCATCTTGATCTCTTGCTATGTATGGGTAGATCACACTGTATTTCTCCTCTGTTATCAAAAGTGAAATAATTTTTTTTAGAGCATGTGTAAAAATCAGCTAAACGGAATGTAATAACTGGCAAATTCAGCAAGCTAAATTGTTACCTACATTCATATAAAATGTTCTGGTGCAAATTATCAATGTAGCCCCAAAATAATAATAGTCGTTAAGCAGAACAATTACATACAACAAAACCCAGATCCCAGATAGAAGGTCACAGTAAAAGGTAAGTAACAGTCAAATCATATGAGCACTAATAGAATTGATTTGTGCACTGGTGTTCAATAAACCATAGCAAAATTAACAAGTTTAGAGTGAACAGACTAATTAATGAATTAATTAATGAACTCTGAGATTTAGTAATGTATATATGCTCCAATCAACACCCCAGCACCTACCCAGTTTTGCATAGACTGACATGGTCATAGCTCTGATAATATAATTTCAAGCCAAGTAACAGGTTAAACCCTTGTTCTAAAAGGTGAACCTATCCTTTAACCGCTTTCCAACTGCCCTATAGCAAATCTATTACCCTTTCCACCATTCGTGGCCTCAGCTGTCAATCACCGGGTCCTGGCCGGTGGTCATTCGCCAGCGCCCGGTGATTGCTGAGCATCTCCGACGGGGAGGAGAACTTTTTGTTAACAAAACTGCTCGTGCACACTGCTTTGGATGGTTGTGCACAGCACAGCCATGCAAAGCAGTGTGATTACAGTGAAGCACACGGACACAGCTTATAGTGAAACAGTACACAGCACACAGTTAACCCTTTGATCGCCCCTCATGTTAACCCCTTCCTGCCCAGTGCCATTAATACAGTGTCAGTGCTTTTTTTTTAGCACTGATCACTGTATTGGTGTCACTAGGGATTGTCAGTGACACCAAGTCAGATCCCACTAGTGTCAGAATGCCCACCGCAGTCCTGCTATAAGTCGCTGATCGCCGCCATTACTAGTAAAAATAAAACTTTTAGTATCTATACCGCCATTTGTAAATGCTATAACTTAAACCAATTAATTTAAACATACTGGGATTTTTTTTTTTTTTTTTAGCAAAGTCATGTAGCAGAATACATTTTAGCCTAAATTTATGACGAAATTTGATTTTTCTTATTATTTTATTGGACATGGTTAATAGGAAAAACTAAAAAATATAGTTTTTTTCTCAAAATTGTTGGTCTTTTTTTCTTTATAGTGCAAAAAATTAAAACAGCACAGGCAATCAAATACCACTGAAAGAAAGCTCAATTCGTGGGAAAAAAAGACGTAAATTTCATTTCGGGTGCAGCGTTGCATGACCACGCAATTGTCAGTTAAAATAACACAGCACCATAACACAAAAAATGACCTGGTCAGGAAGGGGGGTAAATCCACAGGAAGGCAAGTGGTTAAGAGGGGTTACATACCACAATCCATATATCAATGATGTGTCAAAACAGATCACATTTCATAGAATTCAATTAATATTGTTTACAATAAGATCCATGCCTCAGGCATGCAGATAAACATTTCACTGGCTAGCAAAGTGAAATATTCCATGCAAGACATGCAGATACCAATGGTCAGAGTACATGCAAACAGTAAACAGACAAAAAACAAGCCTCTCTGCACCTGGACCCCATCCACTGGTGTACAAATCCCCAAGAGTCCGTCGGCGGCCCACGTGCCTAGGCAAGGACCAGTATCGCCATGGGGCTGGGAGCATGTTGGGAAGCAGGAAGTGACAAAAAAGGAAATGAGGAGCCATCATTATTTTCCCAATAAATCTTTCTTTATGGGATAATTTTAGGAACCCAGTTTGTTGATATTACAAATTTTAAACACGCAAGTGAAAAAAGGCATATATCCTCATCAGGGACGGACTGACAACTCATGGGGCTCCCGGGCAATAGGGGATCATGGGGCCCCTGTGTCCTAGCCCACACTCAAACCACACTCAAAAAAAGCCTATGAAAAGGTACCAGGGGCACTTCATGGGGCCCCCTACTGACCCCGGGCCCTCGGGCAGTGTCCGAGTTCTTAAATGGTCAGTCCACCCCTGACCCTCATATATAAATGTATATAAAATCCATATGATAAGTGGCATTATGCCCCTTGTTTATTGCAGCAGCATCGCTCACACCTGTATACTGACAGTCAAAGTGACAGTGAACCATTATGGAATATACAGTATATGGCCAAAAGATGATGGACACATGCCAAACACACCTTTATTAGCTTGTTGGACATCCCATTCTGAAACCCCTGGCAGTGCCACCCGCGCACCCTCCCCTCCCTTCCCAGTCTAACAATAAAAGCTTCTACTATATAGGGAATACTTTCCACAATATTTTAAAGTTAATTTGTGGTAATTTGTAACCATTTATCTGAAACAGAATTTGTGAGATCAGGCAGTGAAGTGGGTATGAGAAGACATGATTCATAATCAGTGCTCCCTTTTCTTCCCAATGATTTATAACAGATCACTTTTAGTCATATAGTATATTTATAGGTGTTAATATATCTAGATTTGAAGAACTTGTGTAATATATTCAATAATATGCTTCCTCACCAAAAAAGCACCACAAAATTACTGGCACGTAAATAAGGGCTGTGGCACTGGCATCTGGGGCTCTGTGATCACTTAGAAAAAGTTTTAGTCACAATGTGGTTACTACAACCTGTGCCTCTATGTACTTGTTAATACTATGTAGTCCTGTTAATTTCAACAAATGTAGTAGTATGTGGACTAGTCACAAGTCCCTGTTCTAAGAAGGCTTAAAGCGATTCTAAACGTTAATTTTTGTGGTATGTAAAATAACAAACATGTTATGCTTACCTACTGGGTGCAGTGGTTTTACACAGAGCAGCCTGGATCCTCCTCTTCTCGGGTCCCCCGCAGGCTCTCCTGGCTCCTGCTGTCTGTCGGATGCCCCCACAGCAAGTAGCTTGCTTTGGGGACACCTGCTGCTCCGTGTGTCCATTCACACACGGAGCCGCAGTTTGACCCTGCCCCCTCTCTCTCCTCATTGGCTGACCAATGGCTCCTGCTTGCTGTCTTAGCCAATGAGGAGGCAGTGACCCAGGACAACCAAGGCTGTCATTCACGTTGCTGGATTGCAATGAGGCTCAGGTAAGTATTGAGAGGGCTGGGAGCACTGCTACACACAGAAGGTTTTTTACCTTCATGCATTCTAAAAACCTTGAGCCTTTGCAACCACTTTAATGGTCATGTCATAGTCTTACAAACACACATACGAAGGCTATTTGGCTGGAAACTAATGAACTAAACTCCTCACAAACCTGGAGAACAGACAAAATCAAGCTTTCTATGCCTAGAAATGAACTGTAGGGGTTCTGGGAGATCACATGCATAGGACGTTGGCTCATATGTTTTAGATTTTATTTATATTGCAGTAAGTAGTAAGACCTGTAGAAAAATGTAGAAATCTCACTAAAGTTACAGTAGGAGGAAGCATTAACCCTACCACTTAAGGATTTGACTGTATACTTTCCCAGTGGGCAAAAAAAAAAAAACAAAAAAGAAAGACAGCCAGAAACTCACAATATACACTCTTCCAATGTTCCACATTCAAAACAGACCATCGTGGATGGAGATGCATATAAAAACACACACTACAAAACCATATAGCACATACACACACAGTACATGAAGTAGTAAGACACTTAATGAAATGTATAACACAGAAATAGATATAAACATACAAAGCTGTGATGAAAAAGACAGTTTAGTATTTTAGTGACATTTACTGGTTTGTTCATTTGTGATAACAGCTAATTAGATACAAGATATTAGCATGGATTGGGCATGTTTCTGGCTCTCACATGCTCTATTTCTTATCCCTGTGGTATGTATTAGCTGGAATGGAACAATGAACAGGCAATCTTACCCTCTTCAGGCTGAATGTTGAAGTCATCTTGTCCCCCATCTTGAGCCTCTAGACAAGTTGCAGGTACCCAGCCCTGTTCATCTGCAGTGCTAACAAACCACCAACCTAAAACCAATACAATAGTAACATATACCAACATGTTTATGCTTTGCAACAGAAAAAGTTTAATTCAAGCAATTACTTGATTCAGATCCCCAAACCTAAGTTTTTTTGTTAACCAAAAAAGATAGCTTTCTGCTTTTCTTCCTTCTCCCCTTTCCTCTGCCCCTGTATTGAATTTTTTTTTTCAGGGAGCAGGTAACTAGTTTTGACAAGTACCCACTCCCATGTCACAGGTCCCAGAAGGCTGTAGGTCCATTGAGAAAGCACAGTGCTACTCACGCATGTGGGAAGCCAGAGGAACAGAGTAGCAGCAAAGAACCGGCCTGGGTGAAGACAGTGCTTGATCCCTGGACTGGAAAGTGCATATTTACTAATAGTTGGCAACTACAGTATTTGTAGCTGCTTTTATTTTTTCTAGAGTGAAGTTCCTGTTTAAGCATGGGATGATACTGCTCAAAGTCTCTATTTTATCCTGAAAATTATCTTCTTATCACACTTGTTCAAAAAAAAAAGACAAAACAGAAAACATGAAAATTGCGGGCTCAACATAGTTTTTCTGTTATCTGTTCCGAATATGCATTCCCCCCATAAAAAAAAAAAAAAAAAAAAAGATTCACTTTCCACCTAAAATATTTAAAGACAAGAAAAAGGTTTCTGCTGATGCAGAAAGTAGAAACTTGTGTTTTACCAGACTCATTTTTCTCAATGATATCCACCACTTGTCCAACTCGCAGGTTGATTTCAGAGCTCTCTTGTTTGTCATACGGTGCCACCACTACATACTGGTCAAGGACCAAAGGATCAGCTGATGCAGAGTCTGCACCTGCCCAACAGAACAAACAAATTCGTATTTAATATAACACCTTCAGTTAGTAGGTAAGATAACGTGAGAACAATATTACTCAATATCAAGATCAGGAGGATGTAAGGAAAAAAAGTAATAACATTATCTTCATGATGATATAAGACTATACTGTATACACAGTTGTGCTCAAAAGTTTGCATACCCTGGCAGAAATTGTGCAATTTTGGCATTGATAGTGAAAATATGACTGATCATGCCAAATAATGCTCTTTTATTGAAGGGTGATGATCATATGAAGCCATTTATTATCAAATAGTTGTTTGGCTCCTTTTTAAATCAGTGATAACAGAAGTCACCCAAATGGCCATGCTCAAAAGTTTACATACCCTGGAATGTTTGGCCTTGGTACAGACACACAAGGTGACACACACGGGTTAAAATGCCAATTGGAGGTTAATGTCCCACATCTGTGGTTTTAGATTGCAATTAGTGTCAGTGTATAAATAGTCAATGAGTTTGTTAGCTCTTACTTGGAAGCACCGACTAGGCTAGATACTGAGCCATGGGGATCAGAAAGAACTGTCAAAAGTCCTGCGTAACAAGGTAATGGAACTTTGAAAAATTAAATGAGCTGGGCAGAAAATTGTCAGCTGAACAGCACCTGCATCCAACCAGGGCTAAATACAACAGCTGCAGCGAGAGCTTCCATCCATCCACACTAGGTAGCAAGGATGGGAACATTTTAATGGATGTAATGTCAGGTCAGTTTAAATTGGAATTCAACCTAAAAAAAAAAAAAAAAAAAAAAAAAAAAAAAGCTGAAAGTTAGGGTTTAATGACAGAAGAGACCCTATTGGTAGGAAAACTGCTTCTCCCTGCATGCGCAGCTCAACATACATTTATGGCATCGCTCTGTGCCAAGGTCATGTGACTCTTGTGTGCACACATGAGTGGGAGTGGTGCAATTACAGCCCAGCCCATCAAGTGGTTAGAAGAAGATGGAAGCATCCGTGACAGCGCAGCACTGAAGGAAGTTGTTTGGCAGGCAAGTCTGTCATACTGTGCTACTATGCTGTACATTATGCCTAATAGCTCCTGGGGACCCACTTAAAAAACAAAAATTGCAGAGTTTAATGATGCTTAAAGGCCATGTAAAGAAGAAACAGATAAGTGCCAGTGTCAATGACTGTAGCGAAAAGGATTTCAGCGAACATTTTGTACACAGTTTCAAAAACACAATTATGGAATGAGGCCTTCATGAGTTTCAGTATGGTGGTGCAAAACCAATAACCTTGTATGTGTAACATCTGTAACATCTGTAGCAAATATGAACAAGTATCATGTTTAATGCCTAAATATCAGGCAAACCTATTTTTACATTATGGACTAGGAAAATGTTATTTCTACTGAGTTTTTACTGCAATCTAAGTGGACCTTAAATATATTTTCTTAAATATTTAAAAAAAATAAGACCATCATCAAACATGAAAACAGATACTATAAACATTATCCCAGCAATATACATATAATTGATCTCCTCTGGTGATTTTGTGCACAGTTTCAAATGCTAAATAATGCTATAAACCAGAAGAGAACATGAGAGGAAGCTAAATCCTGTGTGAATTTATCCCCAATCTGTTCTCACACTGAATTTTCTTGTATGTGCAGTTATGTTTAGACACGACTAGAGGGCACCAGAGAACAAGAAGTACTATGACCCAACTGCTTTGTATTTCCCTGAAGACTGCTGTACAGTAGTTTTAGTATTCACTTTGTCCCACAGATAACATCTGAACCACTGATGTAATGGTTAATGGAAACCCCAATTTTGGTAAAACCTGATGTCATAAATACAGTATATACCTTTCTATTGTAATCAGCAGAAAGCCTTGTTTATTTTTACATGAGAGCCCAAACATCCAGAACCTTGTTCAGGTTGCCCTCCTGTGTAACAAAGGGGTGTCATAATGCAAATGTGTGAGTTGTTCACCAAGTACACACTATTAATCCCCGCTCAACCCCAGAAAGTGAATGGAGGTACAATATAAACTAAATGGCAAATAAAAAATGTTTCTTTAACGCCCAGGCACACTGGGTGTTTGCCCAGCTCTTCTAAACACCAGGAGAAAAGCAGCGTAAAAAATGCGATCAATTAATTGGCCAGAATATTAATGACATTTTTTTTCTGCCTCTAAACTCCTGTAAACTTTTCTGTACATGGACACATAGGCTAACATTGAAGGGAATTTAGAGGCAGAAGAAAAAAAAAAAAGCAAAGCAGCATTTAAGGTCCCATGCCCATGTGTTTGCTCAGCTCTTCTACACAGCAGGAGAATAGCAGGGTCTAAAACGCGCCTAAAAGCCATGTTTTTACAAATGCGTTTAGGAGCGTCAAGCACTTGGGTGTTCATTTAATTAGCTGGCCAGAAGATCATTTACTCTGCCCATAGAAAAAAATGAACGCTCAAGCGTTTGACAAGCCTATCTCTTTAGTGCATTTAGACACAGTTACACATGTTTAGTCGCATAGGTCTTTTTTTTCCCTGACAAAACGCTGCTGCACCTGAAGGCACTGGAAGTGGGCTTTTTTCTGCCACTAAAGGCCCCTGCCTCTAAGCTCCTGTAAATGCCTAGGTGTGCATTGAGGGGTGTTTAGAGGCCAAAAAAAAAAAAAAAAAACACACACAAAATGCCTCAAAAAACAGGGTTAAAACATCCTGTGTGCTTGAGGCCTTACTGTTACATTGGAACCAATAATCTATTGGCGGGTTGATTTTCCACAATTTCTATTCCCATGAAAATCCAGAAGTTTACGTAACCATAGGCAGTTATATGAAATGTAGCATGGAGGCCCTTGCATGTCTTTCCACCTATTGCTCTTATAGTGGTTCTAAAGGCTCGTTTTTTTCTTTAACCACTTCCCGCCCGCCTGCCCGCAATGTACTGCAGACGGGCGGTAGCTGCAGGCAAAGTACGTCGCTTTGATCTTACCCCCAACTGTCATTCGTTGTATTATTATTATACAGGATTTATATAGCGCCAACAGTTTGCTCAGCGCTGTACATTATAATGGGAGACCGTACACAAGACAGCACAGTAACAATACAATACACGAGGGGCTCGAGGGCCCTGCTCCTTGGAGCTTACAATCTAGGAGGGAGGGGAGAGTGGTACAGGAGGAAATAGCTGTGGGGGATGGAGTGGTGGGAAGAGCGGAGGAGATGGGCAATTAGGTGAGGGCGGGGTAGGCTTCTCTGAAGAGATGGGTTTTCAGGGTGCACCTAAAGGTGAGGAGGGTAGGTGACAGTCTGATGGATTGGGGTAGTGAGTTCCAGAGGATGGGGGAAGCCCTGTAGAAGTCCTGGAGACGGGCATGGGAGGAGGAGACCAGGGAACTAGAGAGTAGGAGGTCTTGTGAGGGGCGGAGAGTGCGTTTTGGGTGGTAGATGGATATCAGGTCGGTGATGTAGTTTGGGGCAGTGTTATGAACAGCTTTGTACGTCAATGTTAATTTGAATTTTATGCGTTGGGCAATTGGAAGCCAGTGGAGGGATTGGCAGAGGGGGTTGGCGGACATGGAGCGGCTAGTAAGGTGGATGAGTCTGGCCGCAGAATTCAGGATAGACTGAAGCGGGGATAGCCTGTGTTGAAGTAGGCCAGCGAGGAGGGACTTACAGTAGTCAAGTCGTGATATAATAAGGGAGTGAATGAGTTGCTTTGTAGTTTCTGGAGTTAGGAACGGTCGTATTTTGGAGATGCTGCCGAGGTGGAGTCTGCTTGAATTTGTCAGCGATTGGACCTGGGGCTGGAAAGGCAGATTGGAGTCTAGAATGACACCTAGTACTCTGGCTTGCGGGGTGGGGCTGAAGGTGGCGTTGTTGGTCGTGATGGAGAGGTCGGGGGGGGGGGGGGGGAAAAAAACTGGGGGGAAAACTAGGACCTCGGTTTTGGCAAGGTTTAATTTGAGGAAGTGGAGTGGCATCCAGTCCGAAATGTCGTTCAGGAGGCTAGTGATTCGGGTGGAGACTTAAGGGGTGAGGCGGGGGGGTAGAGAGATAGATTTGAGTGTCATCAGCATAGAGATGGTAGTTGAAGCCATGGGAGTGTATCAGTTGACCAAGGGAGGAGGTGTAGATGGAGAAGAGAAGGGGCCCGAGGACAGAACCCCAACAGAGAGGGGTAGTGAGGGGGAGGTGGCAGCGTTATAGGTAACACTGAAGGAGCATTGTGATAGATAGGAAGAGAGCCAGGAGAGAGCGGAGTCTCTGAGGCCAAAAGCGTATAGTTTTTTGAGGAGGAGGGGGTGGTCGACCGTGTCGAAAGCCGCAGAGAGGTCGAGGAGTAGTAGCACTGAGTAGTGGCCATTGGCTTTGGCGGTTAGCAGGTTGTTGGTGAGTTTGAGTAGGGCGGTTTTGGTGGAGTGTGGGGGACAGAAGCCAGATTGTAGGGGATCAAGGAGGTTGTTGTCGGTGAGGTTGGAGCTTAGGCGATTATAGGCTAAGCGCTCAAGGAGTTTGGATGTAAATGGCAGCAGGGAAATGGGTCTAAGGTTGTTTAGGTCGGAGGGATCCAGGAAGAGTTTTTTTTAAGTATGGGAGTGATGTGCGCGTGCTTCAGAGGGGAAGGGGAATGCGCCAGTAGAGAGGGAGAGATTAAAGATGTGGGTGAGGGAGCGTAGGATGGAGGAGGAGGGTGATCGTAGGAGTTTTGTGGGGACAGGGTCAAGGGGGCAGGTGGTAAGGCGAGCTTCAGAGAAGATCTTAGTGACCTCTTCAGAGATAGCAGGGTCGAAGGAGTGGAGTGTTAAGGGGGTTTTAGTGTGAGGAATGTTGGGCGGGGTGGCGGTCTGGACAGTGGCGAGGTCGAAGACGAGTTGCGTCGATCTTGCTTTGGAAGTGGTTAGCAATCTCATGGGCAGTGAGTGAGGTACTGGGTGGAGGTGGGGGCGGAGAGAGCAGGGAGTTGAAAGTGGAGAAGGAGAAGGCCAGCGAGGACTGGAGGAGAGGGTATTGATGAGGG